AGTATGTAAAACAAGTTAATTTTCGACATCTAAATGTGATTTAGACAATTTTGCAAATATTCAAATATAGTAAGTACTAGGCTCCTCAAAATGATAGAAAAAGTATAAATATGGCTTTAAGGATTTTGTGTAATTATATTTTAATTCTCATCCTATCTACACTTTGCAATAGAAGAAAAGTGTTTTATCTGGGTACAAATTATTTTTAAATTTTTTTTAATGCCTACATTAAATACTAACGTTTTGGGGGGAATGTATTATATGTTTGTCTATGCAAATAAATGTTTTTTGATAACGCAGTAAATTTTACAATACACTTCAGTTTTTTTTTATTGTGCAGGAAGATTTAGTCCAATATAAAACCTTGGTTGTGGGATGCTACTTCCTCAATAAAGAATATTTTAAATTCATAGCTTTAACATTTATTAGTCAATTTAGATTAGTTCGACTGATGTCATATTTTTCCCGTCACGAGATTTGTGTTTTTTTTCCAAGTGGATAACAATATAAAAATGGCGAAAGATTGCATTGTCAAATATAAATCTTAAAATTTATATTAAAATTTAAATAAAAAAATTAATAAAAAGTGATAAAAGAATTATCCATGAATAAATATCTATCAACGAAGAAAATTAGTTCTTTTTTATTTTTTCTCATGGGGTCACACAATTTGCATTGCTTTAATTATTTTTTTTTAAGTATCGATACTTATTTCTGAAAATTAATTAATCTTATTTTTGACTTCGATTAACTTATAAACAAAAGGTTTTCGATAAATTACAAAAGTTATATTTACAATAATATTACATTTTGGAGGACAATTTTTTTGCTTTTCCTCTTTTTTGTGGGAAAAATTGAAGTGTAAGAAAAAAAATCGATGCGATTTCAGGGTTTGTGTACAAAGAAAACAAGGGTGGAGCTACTTTTTTTAAAATATTATATCACTTCTTTGCACACTATATAGAATTCCGATATTATTAATGATATTTATGGCTAAATTGTCTTTCAGTTTGTTTTATTAAGAAAATAAGTTATACAAACTAGTTTGAGCATTGGACTGGGTAATTTGCTATCAAATACAGTTGAATACTGCTTTTAAACTTGTATATTTTTTTTTCAAAAACATATTCTGTATCTTTTTGGGTTTCTCATGAATTTTTCTGTCATAACAAAAAGGGATTGCTCTCATAGATTATGTTGCATTGATTTAAATATCAAAATTATTTTTTAATTACGGTATTAAAAGTAATTAGTTATCATATTTTTGCTTACTTAAGTTTCATTTTTAAATTACACTAATCTGATTTTAGAAATTCAATGATACCTCTGCATCGTTATGATCAGGAATTATGTTGAATATTTTCAAACAAATTGATTATTGATGGAATTTTATATCAAATTAAAAGTAACAGGCGAAAGTAATTTTGTCATTAAAAAAAATTAAAGAAAAAGAATCATGCACAATGATTTTATTGATATTTTTAAAGATAATGAAACGTTTTTAAAGGAAAGTTAAGGATTAAATGAAAAATTATCAATTATCGATGTAAAATGATTCAAAAATTTAAGTTAAATATGTTTGACTTATTATTAAGAGCAACTAATTCGAAAGTTTCCTTTCATCGTGTTGAATTAAAATTTTAGCAATATTTGATAGCACATTAAAAAAATCAATATTATATTTCCACTTTTGTCATTAAAAACGTGGCTTTTACAAAAAATACTGAAAACTAATACAGAACTCTGTAGTAAAATATAGATAAAAATATTGAGAATGAGTAATTGAGTATTTTTCAAAGAAACAACTACAGAAGTTTTTCTTATTCTCTTTGTATGAATTCTGCAGTTTTGTTTAACAAATAAAAGACGGGACTTTTGGACAGAAATAATTTGCATTTGAAAATAAGAAAAACACATTTCATGTTATACTATCTATAGTACTTATGCGCTACATCATTTTTACACGTTAAATGCCTATGAAATTCCATTAGAAATTTAATTTTTTCTAGACAATTATGAATTCAAGAAGAGTTATTCAACAAGATAAGACAAATAAATTTTTTTTCCGTATTTGATTGAAATCTACGTAATTTTATGCTCTGAAAGTTTTGAAAGGATTCAAGAAATGTAATGTACAGTTTTCAAACAATTTTATTCTTGGTAATTTTGCTTATACTCTAGAAAAGTACCTGCTGCGTTACAAAATGATTGAGGAAAAACAATATACTGCAAAAAAGGTTTTGCATTTTGATTTTAAAAGCATTTGTTTTTTTGTTATAATCCTGCATGTTTCAAATTTTTTTAAATGTGTCAATGACGAAATATTTAAAATTATAGAAAAAAAATCATAAAGAAACTTGTGAAATCTCAAAAATCAATAGATTATATTCATGTGCATAGCAATATATAATGAGTTAATAATTTATATTGCTAATCATGGCGCTCAAATAGTACAGATACTGGTTGCCACGCATTGATAGTAAGGTTGTAAGGTTTATCTTTAGAAGAGTAGGGTATCATAAGCATGATGCAACTACTCTACTATATTGCATCTGTTTAGATATAGAAGAAGATATTCCATAGTTTCACATTTGAATTTAGAAACTGTGGTTTTTCAATTTATAATATAAAATATTTCGGAGTGAAAGAAATGGGTAATTTCTTTGAATACTCAATAATTTGGAAACCTATGGCACGATACTTGATCATCTACTCAGTTTGGTGAGTAAAAATATAAATCGGTAGCTATAATAAAAATATAAATCGGTAAAAATATAATCGGTTAGGCTGATTTTCGCAAGTGAAAATTAGGTATAAATCGATGTAGGTAAAATATAATATTTATAAAGTAATAGGTTATATAGATACATAGATAGGTAATTACGTAATATAAATCGGTAAAAATATAATCGGTTTGGCTAATTTTTGCAATCGAAAATTAGCCAAAAATGTAGGCTTCCACCAACATTTTCTTACGTTTTTTGTTTCTTTGAACACATAGAAATTAAATTAAATGAACTGAAAATTTAAAAAAAAAAAGTTTAAATTCCCTGCATTCGGCTAATTGTAGAGTACCTATAATTCTTAAGTGTTTATTTTATTAGAGTAATGATTGTATGTTACCTTAAATATGGATGATTTAATAAGAAAATGGAAAGTTATTAGGAATTCCGTTAAGTTAAATTAATTAAACTTAAATCAGGAACGATTGTATACTAGGAAATATATCAGGAAAACTTGTATACTACCTTAAATAATTGCGATGCGAAACTGCTTGACAGAGATTTCGCCAAAGACGGAGGATATGAATAAAGGCATGTTGTTATCGAAGAATATAATGTAAAAATGGTCCTTGATAGATGAAAGATTGAATTTTATTTCAGTTTTGCAACTGAGATCACTGATTTGGCGTAGGCAGTTTTCCAGATTTTGTCACCAAATTTTAACAGACGCAAGCTTTAGTCACCAAAAACTAGACAAAACAAATTTGAAGGGGAAACTAAAGACTGGCAAGCTTTTTGAATGTAATTTAAGCGCATTCTCAATGATAAAAAAAAGAATATGGAAAACAAATTTCTCTTTATGAAACAATCTTTATCTTTATGAGGCAACTGTAGTTGAAAGAGCTGGAAATATTTTAGGAAGTTTTCAACCGAATCAGAAAATTATGATAAAATAGTTAAAATATCATGACTACCCTTTATATGGCAATTGGTAAAAGAAAAAAAGGTAAGGTAAACTTCATTAAACTATATTAAGAAGTCTTGGGGTACTTCTTGATAAATGAAGGTAGTCGAATGCTCTTACCCCACATTGGTAACCCGAACGTGATATGAACTGACGTACATCGAAAGTAACACCAACTTCGATGTACGGATACCAGCAGTTGCCGTATTTTAAAAAGACCGGGAGAGCTGTTTTAAGTTCACCGAATTTCGATAGAATTATGTGAGAACTGTATTAAAATTACGGTTGTGTGTGTGAACTCTCCTGCGTTGCTATTAGCAGTTGTGCAGGATCCCGTTATGTGCAAATGCGTCTGAGAAGCAACAGTGCGAGGAGGACAATAATGCAGTCACATATAGCAAGTCCACTATTCAATATCAACTATTCAAGGCGGGAGTGCGCAGGTTACCATTGTGATGAAAGTGCTTTCGTATATATCAACCTTTATCTATCAAAAGGTAACCTACTATTCATGAAGATTTTATTTTATTTTATAACCGTCGTTGAACAGTCGACCCAATTTCATGGGTTTACGACTACTTACGTTCAACTCCGTAGCCTTGTAATTTTGAACCAATCCAGAAGGTCCGAGGGTTTGATCCTCGCCGGCCGAAGACTCCCCGTGTAGTAAATGGTGACTGATGCACGTTAAATCGTCCTCCATGTTCCCATAACAAATCAATACCTCTGGGGGTACTGATCTAGGAGTTTCTTGCCTTCTGGATTGGTTCAAAATTACAAGGCTACGGAGTTGAACATTAGTGGTCGTAAACCCATTAAATTGGGTCGGCTGTTTAACGATGGTTATAAAATAAAAATAAAATAAACGTACCCCATTATTGAAGTTAGCATGTTTTATATACTAGTAAATTGATGTTTGATAATCGTCGTGACAGTTACGCCACAACTATAGGAAAGTTAATAAATAATTAATGTTCTGCATTTTTCTTATCTGCTAGCTAATAAAATCAATCACTTAGCTTGATCAATCATTTGGTGTAAAATATTTCAGCATTAATATACAAGTAACAATACTTAATAATATGTTTAAAATATTAAAATTACCTACACTGAATTTTGAACTATTTACTCTCCTTTAATAAAATATACGAATATAGATTAATGTAAAATTCTTCTTGAGATATATTACTGAACTATATACTGACTATTTAATGCTTCGCGTAATTTCAATTAACTGATTATCAATTACTTATCTAATTAAATTATTAATTGATGATCTTAAAATTATTCAACTAAATTAATAAATTGTAATTACTGGTAATTTCAATTTAGATTATCTACCTTTCTGCGAAAGAAGAATAGAAAAGATGAAGTGTCGTTTCAGCAGTACTCATCAAAATTACTCCAAGATTCGATGATCTCGAGCATTCCGAAGATAATGTCTGCAAACAACATTCAGCTGAAAGTATTGCGCACTTTGTTTTTCGTTGTTTGCGTCATTGGATTTGTTCTCCAGACTTGGGAATTTATGCAACTATATTGGCGATATGAAACTGTTGTCAGTGTTACAGTCACAAACAATGAGGAAGTTGAGCTACCTTCTTTCACCATATGTAATTATTATGGGTAAGACAGACAACCATTTAACTTACTTTCATCATTACAAAAACAAAAAACAAATATCTCTAGGGTGGTGTATAATTATCGTTTTCTAGGGCTAAAACTCTTTCCAAGTAATATTTTTTTTAAATAAAATTCAACTTTCTTATTGTTTGCTGTGAAAGATTCGAGAAAAAAAAAGAAATTTTTTTAAGTTAATAAAACCACCATAGTATTCACACTAATTTAGATAAAGTAAACAGCAATCTTTAATAAATGTCGAAAGATAGTTCTAGCTGAGAAGAAAATAGTGTTTTAACAAATAATAAATTAATTAGTATGTATATAAAAAATGCATGTAAAGTAAATAGAAGAATAAAAAAATTAATTCAATATATGTGGTTAATAAAGTATTTTTGCAGCTAGAGCAAAAATTTTTTCAATTAATTTATTAATTTTTAACTCTTAAACTTGGATAACGCATGTTTCAATCCATGTTTATCCAAGTTTATCCAAGTTTAAGAGTTAAAAGCGGGATTATCGGGGTGAAAAAAATATATGGGTGTATTTTTTAAAACTTCACACATATGATATATTATGAACTACTAGAAAAAATGTGCAATCTTTACATGCTTTTAGGTATGATTTAAATAATATCTCCCTCAATATTTACTATTCTTTTCAAATTCCCTTTATACATAACCTAGTTAATTATAAATAGAAATATGAAAAATAAAAGTTAAATCAACTAGACTACATATTTATTAATTAGAAATAAAAATAATAGAGAGAAATTACATTATTAAAACATTAGTATTGAGAGTGATTAAGGGCACATAGCGTGCGTCGTTCACCGATTGTGGTTTGTGTCGAACTGCTCGCCGATCTTCTTCAGCTCATCCTTTTTCAAACCGTTGCCGTTCGCACACCTGAAAGTTCGATACCAAAGGCGCATTCTCGCTATCGATTCTCACACCTGAAAGCACATTCTCGCTATCGCGATATAACGCACTACAACTTCATGGTTTATAGTTTGTCTACGGTAAGACTTCCCTCACCGTCTTAAAGTCTAAGGCCGACAGTTGCTATGGAAACATGAATGGCGCATTTGAGGATGAGTAGCTTCTCTTCACTCAAGGGCTAATACAGTAGACCGAAGAAAAAGAATAGGGGTTTACTACCTATGACTGTTAATAAACTTTCAGAAAATTTCCCTATTAGAGAGAAGATCGGGGTTTCTGTTTGTTTTAGATATTGTAAGACTTTAAAGAAAAGAATTTGTAATTATAATCTCTATTGTAAAAATTTAGAAGATTTTGAAAATATTTGCAAGAGCATTCCAAAGGTTTTGTTAATATTGATTTTATGCATATTGTCACAGGTGACCTTAAACTAATTAATAATAAATATTTAAGATTTCTCATGGACCAAAGTTTAGACCAAAAAAAATATCGCTTCAATTTTATTCTTGCTTCAATCAGTAAGGATTTTTTAGACTGTTTCATTGCAAAATGCCCAAGAAAATTTATTTGGCCTATAGAGGGATTCAGTGAATGGAAGTTTTGTGTATTGTATAATTTAAAATTGAGTTTTTTGAACAATGATATAAAATATCAACGTTTTAATTTGAATTCTAATATTATTAAATATATTAAGGAATTGAGATATAATTTTATTACTTGTGTTGTTGATAAAGCCTCCAATAAATTTNCATCCATGTTGGAAAATAAATTTGTTTTAAATCAGCCGATAGAATTTTCAGGTGATAGACTACAACAAGTAATGGGGTATCATTTACTTTACATTTTTGGAGCTAATGAAACTGTTTAAAGATTTTGTTGTTAATATATTTCTGACATAACTCAATAAGGGTAATGAAACCAATTATCTTTGCTTTTGCATCAACAAGAGTTTTATTTGTTCCTTGAAGTTTCTTATTTAATATAGTCAGTTTTTCAAAGATATAGGCTAAATAACTCACAAATGCTTCACCATCGACTGTAAACAGATACTTCATTTCAGGTTTGTCGCTTAAAAAATCATTAAGTCACATAATATTTATTGACCGCAGTTATTTAAGAATTTGCTTTTTTCTTTCGATTTTGTCACTGAATCTCGCATTGCATTTAAATGGTCCAGAGCAAAAGGTTTAAACTCATGTCGAGTCCATTTTTGTATTGCCCCCCTTTACAATCAAATTGCCCCCCGTTGGGGCGTGGGCCCCACGTTGGGAAGCACTAATTTAGACTGTTTCATTGCAAAATACCCAAGAAAATTTATTTGGCTTGTAGAGGGATTCAGTGAATGGAAGTTTTATGCATTGTATAATTTAAAATTGAATTTTTTGAACAATGATATAAAATATCAACGTTTTAATTTGAATTCTAATATTATTAAATATATTAAGGAATTGAGATATAATTTTATTACTTGTGTTGTTGATAAAGCCTCCAATAAATTTTGCTTTATTGGGTGACGCTGCTCCACCGCCGTGGCTTCGCTTCAGGTGCCCACTGGGTAAACAGAAGAGAGTAGAAGTTCTGGCATTCCTGAGGCCAATGGGACAATACATCCCAAGTGCCTGCCATTTAAACAAAAAAAAATTTTTTTTTGCTTTATTTGTGAAAAAATTTTTAAACTGTTAATGAGTCAAGAATATGAAAATAATATTACTTTTGTCAAAATTAATAATTTTGAAGAAGAAATTGATAATAGAATTTTAGCTTTTTCCAAGAAAATAGGATTAAAACTCAATAGATTTAATTACCCTTATTTATTTCCTGCAATTAAGTTTCACAAAACACCAGTTAAATTTAGATTTGTAACTTGCAGTACTGGCTCTTATATTTCTGTTTTTGGTAAACGTTTTTTTAATTATTTAAATATAATTTTAAATGAGATTATTTTGAATGATAAACATTTTATTATTAATAACAACCAAGATGTTATTAAATATTTAAATAACAATAATATTACTAATATTCTTGCATGTGATTTTGAAAATCTTTTCACGAGTATAACACACAATAATTTAAAGAATATTTGTTTAGAAATTTTTGATAATTATTTGATTAATGAAGACGTTAATAAAGAGGATTGTATAAATTTAGGTAATCTTAACATTTTCGAAAATTATTTATTTATTGGTATTTGTTTTTACAGACTAATTAAAGTTATTTTAAAAACATTTAAATAGTTTGGCCGATATTGAAGCCCGCTAAAATAGGCCAATGCGGTGAAACTAAGGTTTTCTTTTTCCAAAGCAGATGGCAGCGGTTCAAAAAAAAAATTTTTTTTTTTGCTCTTTGAATATTTTTGTTTCGTTGTTCAAGATTTTCAAATAGGTGTCAGAACTTAATTTATGATATTTTTTTACTGATTTGGCAATTTATATTTAATTTTTGATTTGGTTAATTTAACTGTAACTGTAACTTATTTTGTTTTTTTTTTTGTTGAAAAGTAGCTGTTTCATCTTTAAGTCTTAATATGTATACTTCTATGTAGTGTTTTCTGGTTCATTATTTTTTGGTGCTTTTCAATTCTGGTAATGATTTTCTTATTTGTCTACCATTATGGAACCTCAGGGCATTGTCAGTTTTCATTTTTCCCCTGACAACAGAAAGGCTCCTGCGTACTTGTGGGCAGTGTGTCCCCTGAAGAAGTGCCGTTTTACAAACGCACATTCATTTTGTTTTCTTCCTTTTATTACTCTTTCCTGCTTTAAATGTTTGTTTGAATATCTAAACTAAAATAAAGCAAATTTGGTTTTAGCTGCTTTAGGCGCTTTTCAAATTTGATTTAATGTTTTGATTGTTAATTTGCTTCTTTGTCTTTTTGTAAATTGGATCATTTTATTAGATCTCGTTACCATAGTCACCTCCATAGGTCTAGACCAGAGGTTCCCAAACTTTTCTTTCTCGTGGACCACTTTCAAAGTTTTACTATTTTCGGTAGACCCCCTGTTACTACATTTCTACTGTATTCGCAAAACTCCTAAAAAACATCACCCTAAACTGGGGGTGTTAAGAAGTAAAAAAAAGTAACAAATTTTCTTGTGTCCTATTTATCAAAATAATACTTGCGTTTATACAAAATTATAAACATTTATTATTACAAACAATCAACAATTGACAAAAAATTAACAATGAACTCTGAAATGTAAATCAACAATAAAAAATAGTCATACTTTTAATGAGACGGATGTACTTGATGAATTGACAGCAAATTATCAATGTCAATCGTTTTTTTTATTAACAGGTTGGTAACGGCACTGAAGCTTCGTTCGACAAGATATGACTAGGGAATTAAATTTTCAGAAAAATTTCTCGCAATTTCCCACAGCCCAGGATATTTTTCGGGGATTTCTGCTTGCAGCTAAAATGTTTGATAGCCTTTTTTAAATTTCCCCTTCAGTTCCTCGTTGGTGCTGAGCTCAAGTAGCTGCATGATCCATGGTGGTATTTCCATCGTCAGAATATCTTCAAATCTATTATTACCAAATCTATAAGTCATCATGCAGTGCATTTACATGCGAGCGGGAGCACGGGCCGTATTACTTTGCAAGTGGCGACATGTGGTGTACTCTAGTACTGTTATCTATTGTTCCATTCAATTCTGTGTTTGAACTGAGTCTCGAATATTTTTAAGTACCTACCAAGTGAATGATGCTACCTGCCTACATAGATAGGTAAATCCAAGCCAAAAATTTTGTTCTCTATTATGAAAACCGAAAAATTTTTCGTGGACCCCGACTTACAACTTGTGTACCCCTGTTTTCTTTTCACGTCCCCGTGGACCCCCGTGTGGTCTCCGATGGACGCCTGGGGGTCCACCTGGACCACTTTGGTAACCTATGGTCTAGAGGAATGGCTAGTGGAGTTCTTACTTTAGACGAACTATTTATTCGCAAACGTTTCAGAATGTTTAATGCTTTAAAACTCGTGATGAGTATTGAGGATATCATCCCATATATTTTACTCATCTTTATTTTTTTTTCCGTCACTATTATCGGGAGAAGCTACTGAAATCATCGGGAACAGATATTAACAATGAAATGAGATATTCAAGGAACTGAAAAGTAAGAGAATATGTGTTGTTGTCGATATACGTGTCATCGACTTTTGAAAATCTTCACGCAATTTTATTCAGAAGGGCCAATGTTCCCGTTGGATACCAAAACACAATTAACCCCAAGACGTTTAATTAATGATCCGTTCCTGTTGTAATGATCGACACTATCCAACGCTGAAAGAAAATCAGATCCAGAGCAACCAGCACATTTATTTTTGTTTTAGAATGATATCTCATGCTCAAGAAAACGAATTGTTAAGTGAATCGTTCTTTAAATGTTTGGACTGTTCCAAGATTCAATTCCTGAAGATTGCTTGAATAAAATCCAACCTCAAATCAATTTAAGCTCCCATATTTCCTATTTCCTTTGCTTTGCCCATCCACCATGTTTCCGATATTGACTCAAGAGGGAAATTTCTTCTCATAGAATACAAATATTATAAAAGCTTATAAGCAAGATCTTTAAGAAATGTGCGAATATTGTAGAGAAAGAAGGATTTTGATCTTGAACGTATAAGGCGGGATTTTCTCGAAAATGGGGACCTAAAATCCATGATAATTTAACATTATCGATGTGTACAATTTTCACGGACTAACAAAAATGACGTAGGAAGCGAGATAACGAACGAAACAGACAACGTAAAACGGAGGTTCAACTTTCTCTCTTTCTATATGTTTATTCTGACGCTCTTATTTCAAGCAAAAATGCATTTTGGTATTTTTTAATTACAATAAACAGTCGCATAGTCAGAAAAGAATAGAAAATCTGTTAGATTATTAGAGGACCTTATCTCTAGAGAAAAAAAATCTGTTAGATTATTAGAATTATAAAATCTTAAATATGAAATCCAAAATAAAAAACAATTGTTAAAAAAATATTCTTTTATTTTTATTTCAAAATTTATCAGTAATTGATTTCGTAATTTAAAGGAATTCCATTGCTAAATTCCTGTTTCCCTTAAATCTAGCCAACTGCAAAAAAGTGCGAATTATTGTTTAAAACGAATTATTGTTTAAAAGTGAGCCGTGTCTTGAGGACTTACCGATTAACGCAGAAAAAGAGACCGGTGTTTCATGCCGGTATTTAGTAATCATATATTATTAATATGCTAAATATACTGCATTACTCTTACTTTGACCTAAATAAATACAAAATAATAAAAGAAAAATTTGAGAAATATGTTTAGTAAAATTGATTTTCATGCAATTTAAAGTCATTTTTTTAATATTTTATGCTGACACGCGTTCCTGTGTTTATTGCTCACCTTAAATGTTCCTCTGAGAAACACAGCATACTATGAACTATATATCTGCTATTAGTTGATAATAAATATTCCATGCATTTTGCACATTAACATAATTAATAAGGTCCACAATTTGAGGGTCATTGCTATTGGATAAAAAAAAGCTGTTTTTCGGACATAATATTCGATTAGTTTCATACAGGCACGATAATTGTTTAAAGAAACCGGTATTATTTCCATAATTCCTCACTTTCATGAATTCAATAAATAAATAAATTTTAACGAAACTACTAATAAATTATAACTGTTTGGTTTTCAGATTTATGTCATCCTACATTTGTAGTGATCCGAGATTTAGTGAAAGATGTCAAACACTACCTGAATTTGAGGAGTACCAGAATTTATGTGAATGTTTTCATCAACGGTATTGTGTTGAGGGTGAAATAGCAGAACCTCCAGAGGTAAGTCCCAAAAAATTCTCTATCAAAGAATCAATTAATTGTGCTGGCATATATATTTTGTAAACATAAATGCCATTTATTTTAATTTTATTCCAGTTTGGCTTTAAATCAATAAAAACTAGAAATCCACTTTCCGTAAAACATTTTGTTGAAGATAAGTTATATCTAAAAATTGATACATATAATTATTGTTTTATTTTATTTGGAAATAGAAAAAAAAAAACAAGAAGTAAAACTAAAACTGAGACATTAAAAATACATTTCCTTTGAAATTTTAAGAGACTTCTGAACACTTTATACTAAAATTTAAATATATATATATAAAGTGTGATTTACTTTTACATTTTTCTTTAATTTCATGATTTTTTCCAAAAATAAGTTTTTTTTTTGCGATATCGACACATGTAAAGAATAATNAGTTGCACTTACACTTGCAGTTGCACATATTTTTCTCTCGTGTGATAGAGGCATTAGGATAATTGTTCTCTATTCAGAAATATCGCATGTAGCAATAGATGTGTCTTGATAACGACTATTGCTTTCTCATTCTTGTTTCTCTTCAATTTAGTTTTTATTCATGTTTTTCATATTAATTTGTGTTTATATTTATATATATATTTCGCAATAACGGAATATGGTTTTTAAATTCAAAGTATAAAAGAGAACCAAAATACGTCTCCCTTTATTCAATTTTAAAGTTTATAATTTAAATAAATTGTGCCTGGAGATTATAAAAGATCGTAATCGTTTTCCTTTTCTTCGATCTCTCTCGCGTCTGCTTGCTTACCTAGATAATATCTTTATCTAAGGCTCTTATACTATGAGAGCTGAACTATCCGGCATGTTGGAGCAAACAATTTCGAAAGTTCACGTTATGCTAGTATTAGCGTGAAAGTAAAGTCTATTTGGGTACCTCCTAAAACTATTGATATGGGTGGTTGTGTGGCTGAAAAGTTGTACAAGCAAATAAAGAAAAAGGCTTTCGAATGTTCAGATTTCCTTTAAATTTGAAAAGGAGGAAGAATTGGATAATAAATTGCAAAAGATACAAAGATACGGCAGCCTGGAAGGGGAGCTCTCTTATAAGAGGTGAATTTCTCATTTATTTATAGCTTATTACATTTATTTAGTCATATATGTAGTATATAAACGATATTAAGTTGTCAGAATTTGTTTTTGAATGCTTAGTTTCGTCTATTTGTTTTAAAAAAATAAGCGAATAACTTTCAGGGTTGCTGGAATTGTACAATTTTAACTATATACCAAATATAGGACCTATTAAGTAGTATATATTTATTTGAAATATTACTTTTAAGCAATATTTATCGATTTATTTAACACTTTTAAGTGCTTGTGTACAATAAAACTAATAAATAATGGTAAGAGATTGGCTGAATAAGTTTTCGCCAAACTTATTTCCGAATCGCCAAGTTTGGCATTCGCTTTTAAGTATTTCTTTTTGTTAAAAACAATTATTTACCTGTTTTTTATGGTATTCCTTTTTATTTCACTAATATCAAGTAGTTACTTTCTAAATCTTGGCTAATTTAGGTTTGTTTTTTAGTTATTTATGGTAATATATCGCCTAATGTTCAACCGATTTGTTTACATTTATCATAAGAAATCTATTTAATATGCGATCTTTCATCTATTTTTGGATCGACCAATGTTTTTTCTTTGTTTGAAATTCTTGTGTTTAATGGCTGAATAATTAGTTTCTTTGCTATAAAATTTCGTGGCAGTTTGGTAAAATTTCTAAATCTAAAGTCTATTTATCTAAAGTTTTTTCAACATTTCCAACTATCTACTGTCCTAATGCTTCCTTTTTTAGAAGTACCCAACAAGATCAATTTATGAGGAGCTGTACTCCATGGATTTCGAAAACTACACCATGTATCTTCAAGCGAGAGAGGATATTTTTAGCTTGTGTTTTGTGGGATCCGTTCCTGTTNGATATTCGTGAATCTGAAGACTGCGAGTACGTAAATTTCTGATCTTTTTTTAACACAAATTCTGATAACATTTCTTAAATATTAGACAGCTGATAACCCTCGCACCAAACATTAACCGTAAATATTCTCTTTTCTGTGACAAAATAAGCTTAAAAACAGGAAGGGACAATATTAATAAGAACCTACGAGATCGATAAAAGCTTATTCTTTTTTTTTTAATAGAAAAAGTGTCTATGAAAATTTTTTTTTCTCTCAACACATCCGTACTAATCCCCTCTTCTGTACTATGGTTTCTCAAAGTCTTGCTTTTTTCTCCAAGATAGTACATTTCAGTGTGAAAATAGAATGAAATAGAGTTGGGAAAAAATTTTAATTTAGTAAAATCATGGAGACGGAAAGGGAAAAATAACTATCGAAAATGGGAACATCTCGGAAAACATGAGACGCCTATTTTATTTACAAAGAGTACAGTGTTCGTTAAAAAAATAATAAAATGCAATCAGCATGTTTCACACGTACAAACAAGCTTTACACATAGCACGGCAACGTGGTAAAAGAGGTGGAGATAAAATCAGAGGCTATGTTGTAAGTAAAAATAAAAACTGTGGAGTCCTTGAGAATTTTTAATGAATGAGAATTCCTAATGAGAGTTCCTGATTTTGATTTATATTTGCGTCTATGCTGGCTGTAGAAAAAATTTATTATTCTAGTTGTACTTTTTACAATGTAATTTTTTCCATTTAAAATTCAATTTATGAATCCATTTAAATTAAACTAAGAGCATAAAAAAACTAAAGATAACATTCAAAACATTGAAATCATTTTCCTTTATTAATTTATTCTATCTATGTGATTTATGGCTCTTTAGAATTTCGTATTTTTCAGAGGCTTTTCGGAAATTATAAATTACAGTAAAATATTTGCATGGTATATTTACTAGCAAGTTTGAATACAATTTCAAGAATTAAACTTACAAGTAAATTAAAGCGTGAATACATATCGTCTCTTAAACTTAATATAAGCACAAAATACACGGGAAGTTTTTAATTGAGTTTTCCCGTTCTGATTTTTGAATTGCATTATTATTTCACTTCTTCCACACAGAAGATTACAGAACTGAGGTTATTAAGTAAAACAATTAATTTCTAATGAGATGAGTTGTTGTTGCTGAGTTGTTGATGAGTTGTTGTTCATTTACGTCGCACTAGAGCTGCACAATGGGCTATTGGCGACGGTCTGGGAAACATTCCTGAGGATGATCCGAAGACATGCCATCACAATTTTGATCCTCTGCAGAGGGGATGACACCTCCGCTTCGGTAGCCCAACGACCTGCACGCGAAGTCGAGCACTTTACGATAGCACAGTTTAACGAGGTATACCGCACACCCTCGGTCCTAACGCAGACTGATTCAAGTGGTCACCCATCCGCACACTGACCGCAGCCAGTGATGCTTGACTTTGGTGATCTGCTGGGAAACGTGTCTTAACGATCAGTCCACTGCGAGACTCTAATGAGATGAAGAAATGTAGCTGCAAAAATATTCAAATGATCTTACCTCATTGTGGATAATTAGCATTAAATTTGACTTCAAAAATTACACTTTCAAATTTGTCTTACAATATATTTTGTGTTTCCTTTATAATACAATTTTTATAAGTACAAAATTTGAGTGACATCGACCGCAAAATTCCTCAGAAATCAAATTTTAAATATTCCATTTTTTATAAAATTTGATTTCTCTGGAACTTTCTAGAACCTCTGTTCACTTTAAAACTTTTTTTTGAAAACAATGAAGTTAAAAAATGAAAATATTAAATGATTTTAAAAAAATTTAGTGAAATAATCATTAGATTAATAAATTTTATAATTGACAGCAAAAAAAAAGTTTCGATTCGATTTGGAAATATAGCAAAATAGCGCATATAAGTAATGACTCTGAAATACGCATTTTGAAATTAACACGAAGAGAGTCTCAAACTTTCCACTATTCTCCTACCTACACTATCTTTTTTTTATATTTTTCCAGTCAAAAATCCAAAAGCGTCGAGAAAAAGATACATTTCTTAAAGGAAAAATACGGTTTTGTGTTTGATTTACTTGAAATGTCGTTTGCTTTAATTTTCACAAACTCACAAACTCTGCGCAAAAATACAACCATTAGATAAGGAAAAAAAATGCATTTTTGCTAACTTTAAGCATAGAAAAATTTTATGTATGGAAGCAGTCAGGCAAAATTCCTCGAAACCGTTCAGTACACACAGCTTTGAATTTGAAATAAAAAACCATCCATGTTTCTCAAAATTCTGACCATATGCTACACAAAGAAAAAATCCGATTTTTTTTTTACTTAAAATAAATTCACGATATTTCAAAATTAATTAGCAATAGCATAAAAATAAATTGATATTTTATTAATTTATTATTACTTTTTTCCTCAATTGGTTCATTGTCAAGGAAATATTTAAATGCATATTTTTCATGTGATATTCTTAAAAAATGACATTCATTTTCGGTCACTGTATGAATGGTTTTATAGTTTGTCTAATGTAAGAACTCCCCCAGCCATTCATCTGAACCCGTGGTGGTGACTATAGTAAAAAGGTATAACTATTTCAAGTTGGGGTATGGATCATTGCTGACAAAGTCAAAATTTTGATGATTTTCCATAGATGGACCTACATAATCTAGATGGTAATCATCAAAAATTCCATTATGAACCATTATATTTTTTGATGGTAACCAACATAAGTAACTATCACCTCAATCTACGAATTCGGACTGATTTATGATGAGCCAATATAAGAATGACAACTTGTTTTGATGATTTGTTCTTGTTAAACCATCAGGAATTTCCACTATAGTATCTTAGAAATCAAATGTTGGAACGATCATGAACCACCATCATCCCAATGTAGGAAATCGGACTGATTTATGATGGTTCAACATAAAAAAAAATTGTTTTGATGGTATATTTCTGAGAACCAACAAGAATTCCCATTAAACTATCATGGAAATGTATAGTTGGAACCATCATAAACCATTACGGATCATTATGGCTTGTTGGTCAGTGAGAGACAAACTTCCCATGATGGTTGACCATCAGAGTATTAAACTAGCATTTTCCATCATGGAATGATAAAAGATTGTTGGCATATCAAAAACCATGAACATGCAAATGAAAATGTTGGATGATGGTGACCTTCAAATGATGCTGGACCATCATGAACTGCATTAAACCCAACATGAATAATTAAAATACTTTTTAATAGGACCATCAAAAATTTTGAGTCTGGTTTGAACAGGTTTTGGCTCAGGTCGGCGAAAGAAAGGGAACAATTTTCTTCGGTCTATTATGTTAGCCCTAAAGTGAAGAGAAGCTATCCTCCGTGAAATGTGCTATTCTTGTTACAATAGCAAAAGAGGGTCTCAGACGTTGTGTTGGGGGAGTCCTTACATTAGACTAACTATATATTTTGCAGAGCATTCATGCAACATTTCTTCAATTAAATTGCAAATTTCGTCTATTAACACTAGAGCTTCCAAATTTAGGAACCGTTTGGGGTAACTTTGGTATGAGAATCTAAAGTAATAGAACTTGAATGCTAAATGTGACAATTATATTTTACCTGCATGATCATATTACTTCACAGGAACTATTTCACACTCTCGATGTTTAGTCCAAAAACTAAGTCTCCGATTGTCAGTGCCTGTTTTACTTTCAATTCTGTGATTGGAAAGCCTAACATCAGCTCAGAAACTGCACATGCCGGGGCTTGTAAGTAATTTCATCAATTTTCTGGAATCAGAGCATAGTTTTTTTAAAATTTCTTTTTATAAATATTGCTTTGCCTAAGATGTTTTAGAGAAAGAAATATATTCTCGCTAATCAGCTTTTTTGTTCGAAGAATTATTACCCAGAAATGCCATCGCATGAGGTTAGGCCTACTATAATCTATTCCAAAACACACGGAGATATAATTCATAATAAGGAAGCAGCCCTAGCCACGCACGACAATATGCAAGGCATGGGTTCTTATACAATTTTCTTCCTGTTGTTGTTTTCATCCCCATGACCAGCAGAGCTAAATCAGGTCCATGAGCTCGTTCACTTTAAGAAAGTCTAGCGCCAACAGGGGAGCTTGAACTAGGTCCTGCCTGGTAAGTCCCAGACAAGATAAAATGTGGTCAAGGGGGGCCTGGGCAGCAGAACACTTAGTGCAGATTTCGAAGTGTTTATTACCATCGTTATAAGTCATTGATGACAGATGTCCACAGAGGAAACGAGTAATGGCACTTTGCTCTCGTCTATTGCTGCCCCGAGCCAAGGAGCCCCATGAGCATCTACTTTGATACCATAAGTGTATCGGCGGGACCGTGCAAATAGCCATATTCTTTGCCTTACTTTTAGAAAAATGCTCCAAGTAAGTAAGAGGAGCGACAGTCATAATAGTCTCTTCAGCACCTTCTTTGGTCTCATTTCCAGCTATATCAACATGTGACGGAATCCACTGACAGTGGAATCGATGAGAAAGGGAAAGATGTTTTAGTTTCCTGAGAATGTCAGCACCAACACTGTCCCTGACATTATGCCAATCGGCCGGTTGCTGGATAGCACTTTTACTATCCGAAAAGATCCAGATATCAATAAACCACGAAAGCGACATGATGGAGTCCAGACCCTCAAGAATTGCAATAAGTTCGCTTCGGAATACAGAGCAGAAGTTCGGATTTCTTCTCTTGATTTTTATTTCCTGATCCCGAAGTTTAATATAAATGCCACTGCCAGATCTGTCACAATCAAGTCTACTGCCATTTGTATACAACTGAACAGCGTTCATGGGAATATAATTAATTCTTTCAAGCGCTGTTTCATGTAGCTCGGCAAATCGATTTTTTTGCTAACCCAGACAGGAAGGTCAACATGAAAGAGAAGCCCTTCAAGACCCTCAGAAGGGTCGATAATCTGTGATAAACTGTAATGTTCTACAGAACTGGCGCTAAGGTTGCC